CTATCTTGCTACCCTGGCTTGAAAAATTAACCGTGACTGTCTTGGGCATTCTACATACTGCAGACGATTTTAAACTCTGATCTCAAAGCATTTTGATTTAAAATCTAGTGGTATATCCACTAGATTTGTTTGACACATTTGTATAATCTGACCTTCTGTTTACTGTACATCAATATGAAATAGTCCGTTATATATGCAATATTAAAATAGAGTTAATCGCAAACGTTATTTATACAGTGGAAACCTTAGAGCAAAGAGGTAGTATTGCGATACTTGATATCAATTAAATGTAAGCAAATTATATAAAATTTCTTATATGATAAAACTTATTAACTAACATTAATTGTTTTAGAAAGTGAAATCGTTACATTAATTTATTTTATACGAATATCGATCGTCCGTACAATATGTACTTCATAAATTATCGTACATAATATAAAATGGCACCTTTTAATTTATATAGAGCCTTTTCAGGAAGAACATCGTAGCCGCCATTTTGTATATTTTTAGATGGTTTTTTTAAATTTTTCTTTAAGTATGATGAAATGTTGATGACATTTAGAAAATTTCACTAAATGCTGTACAGGCGACTATTGATGTATATGTTTAGTTTTGGATTATGACTTCAAATTATCATTCAAACGTCGCTTACGTTAAAACTGACGAAAATGGTAGATAATTTCGTCAGTTTTAATGCCAGCAACAACGAAAATCAAGTATGTCGCTTACGATAATTCTGAAATATGAATCTAAATGTAAAAATAGCGTTATGTTGGCGTATTAGTTTTTCGGATTCTGCACCTAAACAGTAAAACGGAACCCTGTTACTAAGACATCGCTATTTGGCACTAGGCTGCATCTCATGAACCATGACAGAACAGACAGTTTAAATCTTCACAGATAATGTATTTGTCGCTATAACAACAAATACTAAAAATGTTTAAGAGGCCTCCCATGCCACTAAATGTGATTTTTTGCCAGTTTTCGGTACGGAACCCTTCGTGCGCGAATCCGACTCGCACTTGGCCGATAAGAGGTACCACACAGTCAAAGTTGGAGTCAGAAATTCCAAAAACATATTTATTTTTAACTTAGAGACTAAGGTTTAACTAAAAATTATAAAATAAATAGAATCAATTTTATTCATCGGTCTCAGTTTAGATTTCCTTGGTGTTTCTATCATATGGTGATTCAAGGTATTCCTTAACGTAGGCGTCTGGGATGACACCTTTGTCACAAATTTGCTTTAAATCTTTGTATTTCGCCTTTGAGATGAGATTTTTTCCAGTATATGCTAATTTGGGTTAACGGATAGCTTGTTGGTTTTGTCGTGATCTCAATATAAGAGACACATTCACATCTTGCTCAGGCCCATCATAATCACATCAGGAACTGTTCACTCTTCTCAAAAGGCTTTACATAGCTTGCTTGTATGATTTAATTTTTATTGGTAAAAAGGCTGCTGCATACGAATTCCAATCTTTAATTTCACTACTTTTTGTGATTTGTTCGAGCATTTCCAAAGTAAAGTTTTCCACTCAGATGGTACGTAAACCCGTTTTTCTTTAAACAAATCCCTCTATCATCGCATGCCATAGTCCAATCGATTCTACACTAAAATTTATTTTCTCGCATTGATCACATTTTTTTGGGTAAGTGAAACCCTAAAGCAAATTCCGTTTTGATTGTTTTTCTAAACTTTTAAAAACTTACTACACCTAACTCTTTCATACCATCATGTTTCAAATAAATTAGCCACATCCATAAATCTAGTTGGTAAGTACATTTTAAAAATTTTATTTCTACATTAATGTGACTGAACGGCCGGACTTTTTAATGAAATCATTTACGTTTCGAGTTTGAGTTTGACTGTATTTACGGCCTTTGCCGCGTCGGTCAGCTTTGGAAATGATACTAGCAATTTTACGTGATTTAGTGTAACGTAATGTACTTTGCGAAATATCAAGGGTTTTCAAAAGAAACTGTTGGCAAATTTTCACCGATACAGCGCCGTTTGGTAAAAAATAATTGTAAGTTATTTTACGACGATTGCTTTTTGTTCTTTTTCGGCCGATTTCACATTCTTTAATGCAAGATAAAATGAAATCCCGTTGTCTTTGTAAAGACCCAAGACCCCAATATAGTTCATGAACGCAATTTCTCTCTATTTCTGTAAACTTATTAGCACAGTCATTACCGCATCTTTTGCCTAAGCAGGGATTTGGTTTGACATACTTTCCTTTTCCGGACCATCTCTGAGAACTTTCTCTTAATTTCTTTGATAGTGGTCGTTTCTTCTTTATTCCCTTTTTACCGATGATACCCAAGTTCTCATCCTCTGTACTATCAGATCTTTCTTTATTTGACGTCGCAGAAATATGCACTGCAGACGTTGACGGACAAATGGGCAAAGAATTAACTTTCTTCGTCCTTATAGGAATTTTCCATGAATGGTCAGTGGCATAGCAATGAGTTGATTCATTTTCAGAATTGTAATCGGTAGACGAGCAACGTGTAGAGTCAGAATAAGCCAATACCGCATCGGTAGGTTCAACCACCTTTTTATTTTCTGAAAGCAAGATAAAAGCGCAATTGCTGTCACCATTACATTCGATATATAAAAAAAGGGCTAACATATTCTAATAAACATATAATAAAGACATCACCAACCCATAAATGATTACGTTAAAGCTGCACTGTTGCTAAAACTTAACATTAAGAACCCAAAAATCAATCGAAAGCTTATTAGGATACACACCCGCTTAATAATAACCAGTAACCTAGTTAGTTTAAGAATCCAATGTATATCAAAGTCATAATATGACAGCACGCTATTGTATCAGCCTAGAAATTGTCTTCTGAGATGAAACACCATAGAACTTAATAGAATAAGACCTTTATTAAATTTTGAAGTGTTTCATTTAATTGAAACTATACTATGACAGCACTGCGCTCGACGAGTAAGAGTCTGTATTTATATAGTTGTAATAATTGCAGTTGCTATTGCAAAAAAGTCTTATTTATATATTTGACCAATTTTGCATTCACAATGCTACACTAGAAAACCCATCTCGATGTACCAGGAACAAAGTGATTTTTTTAAGCATTTTCATTTAAAAAAAGTCTCATTGGTTTATATAACAGTAAAAAGCAGAAGAAATAGTGTAAATAAACCTGATTCAGAATTAAAAGCTATTTTTTTAAGGATGACTGCACTGCTTGTTATAACAAACATAGCCTAAAGAGTAACAACTTAAAGAGTAGGTTATTCTAATATTATCAAACAGTAGAGAAATATACATGTTTCGGTTTTTCACCCATCGAAGTGCGACCATGGGTATGATTACGCTTTGTCCCTACCACGTTCAGATTGTCATCTGTGGTGACGGTAGCCTTACAGTCGTCCTGCTTACTCGAAGAACACTTCCAAACTGTCCCCTTTTTCGACTTAGTAACTCTCATGTACGTGTAGTTCTGATAGAGTAACATATATCTCCCTTTCTTTACTTTTATAAGCACCGGATCTGTAATAAAATCAAAAAGTGGTATTTTAATATTGAATGTGGTATTTTAATACAGATTGTGTATCATACCATATATTTGTCAGCTCGGATTAGGGTTTTTGAAATTCCGCCACCGAGGAACTGTGACGCCATTTTCTTTCAGATATGCACCAACTTCGGCGATTTTAATTTGGTGCGATAAAATGAAATACCTTAATATTAGCAATGGAATTAGTTAATTATATTCAAATAATAAAACATACATTATTATAATTCATATCATTTCCTTTTTAGTTACAAAATTGCAAGAATATACGTAATACCTTGAGGTGACTTAAAACAGAAAGTCAATAACAAAAGTCCGTAAGAATTATAATTTCAAAAATATCATGTATACCATTTTACATTTATAATTTCTGATGTTTAATAAAACTTTAACAATTTCTTAGAAGTTATTATTGTAACGCTTTTTAAATTTATATTCTATTGTCAAGTCTTGAGAAAGTATTGTTAAACAGTGGCAAATGATAACAATATGCCATCGTGTACAATATCTCTCATTTGTTTTTCGGGGTAGAAAAATTACAACCATCATTTGCTTGTTCTTTTCCCATGTTCAATTGAGGTTTACGTATTACATAGTTTTCAGTGCTATAAGTACAAGGAAATTGAAATTAGTTTTCGTATTCAGTAAAATTCTCATATTTACTAATGTTACATAATGGGTAGATCCTGTTTACAAGGTTTACCAAATACTGGATAAGGTCAGAAATACAAGAATGTAGTTTTAACTTATATAGACCTTTTTAAAATTTACAAGCACAAGGATTTTAAAAAGGTATTGATCTTTATGCGTTTTGTATCAGACTAGGACCCAACTTCTCCTTAAAATATCTATATTGGCGATTTAAATAATTTAATTAATCACCGCTTCATCCTTTATTACTTTAAGATTCCTTTCTTTTCGTTTGATTCTATGTCTTTGTGAATAATGTTTCCATTTTTTTTTTGGATTTTTTGCTCTTTTGGTGTCATTTCATTTATAGTCAAAATCTTTTTATCATCTCGTCTCTTCTGTTGTCTTTGTCTATCAGCGGCTTTATGTTTTGCGTAAGCATTTGGATTAGCCCTAATTTTTTCTCTCCTATTTTTTTCAGCCATTCGTTTCTTTTCCAATCATATTTCTTTAGAGGTCAATTTTGCCACTTGCCAGAATGGATCTGCAAGAAATTGGGACAAGTGCCTATGTTCTTTAATAAGAACTTAGTATTTTGTTTAAAATAGAATCACAATTTAATGCATGTAGCTTTTGGAATAATTACGAGAATGACATCGTATTTAAACGTTTTTAAATTAAAACGTCACAAGTATTATTAAAATTCGCTAAAAATCTGAAAATAAAATCTTTTACAGGCAGTGGAAAAGACATTGTAAAAGAAAATAATTACAAGAATTTGACTAGGTAGTTCGAATGAAACTGTTGTGACATTTTCTCATTCAATCATTGTCTTCTTCAATCAAGTCTTGATCTTGATCCAAAAAATTTAAATCATGCTCGTCGTTCTCTTCATTCACCATCTTCTTCAACTGTTTATCGGATACTCTGACGTAATCGCCTTTTTCGTTCACATAGAAAATAGGAGGAGGGTGACTATGTTCTTTGTTAATGATGAATAATTCACCGTCATTAGTAAGCGCCACTTGGGCGCAGCACTTCTTTGAGCATCGAGAAGAACACGCCCAACTTACTCTGCTTTTGCTAATACAATTCTGTGCGTAAGTGTACTGTTCATATACCAATAACTTGTGACCTTTCTTTGACGTTATGAAGTGGATCTCTGTAATCACAATTATTAGTGTGAGTCAGGAATAACACTGGGAATCTTAAAACATGTTAACACAGGAGTAAAACAAGAGAAAACTATTATAAAATCTTTTATTAAAAAACATATCAAAATAACTTCATAATTGTATTCAACATAATAATCGCACTTAATAATAATTGATTTATACTTATATTATCAATGTAATAAAATCTTTATTATCGTCAAATTTTTAAAAGGACACCGTGTAGACCGTATTTCATTAAATTATGTAAATAATACAAGCTAATTCAATATAAGAAGTATTAAAATTCAACACGAATTTATTAATAGCCTTAGACATAACTTTATGAAATAATATTAAAAAAATTAAGTACCTAGATATATACTTAGTTACTTAAAATAATGAGATAGGGGGATTTGTGAAAATTATTATGCAAGCGTATGTTTTGGAAATGGAATGCATACTCGAAGCTATACGTGGGCTACATGCTCTTTTGTCTTCTGTCATAGTGCTTGAAAAATCTGGCGACGACCCATGTACTTGAACCTATCGTGAGCTTCAAGCGTATTTGCAAAAATGATTAATTTTCTTATAATGGCAATCTTTTGAATAACTACAGCAATATTTTTCTAAAATAATCAGCAAATTACTTTAAAAAAATCTTAGTGAATACTTTTCGACACATAACCGACATTCATGTATTATTTTCAATTTTCATGTCTCTAGAAAAGTAAGGATGTTGCTTATACGTTCCTATGGCTTGAATCCAGCGACATGACAATAAGTTGACAAGAGCTACTCCCACTGAATTTCGGAATGCAATTAAATTAGGACCTTTTCATTGCATAGAAGATTTGTAAGCAAAATCGAGAGCGCAATAAATAGTCAACTAATTCTATGATGCAGATTCATTTGTTTATAGTTTGTAAGGGAAAAATATTTCTGTATGTGCTCTGTTACAAGAGATAATATAATCTATACTGTTATTCTATAATGAGGACTTAAATATTACTATCTTTTTTGGTAGCGTAACTGCTCCACATTTCATGAGACCATTTTCGACTTTGGAAATGCCAAGTGTATCTAATTAAAAGGTCAAGAAAAAATTTGAATTAAGAATGCGCAAACACGTAACATCAGTTTCAACATGATACCATCTGAGTATTGCATAAACAAATTAATCTTCAAACTCAAAACCATCTGGTAACACCGCTCTCTTTGATGGAGGGTGATTATGGACAATAAAAGAATGGGTGATGATAAATGGCTTCTGTGATTCATCCGTAGTAATGCTGGCTGAACAACCTTTTTTCTGGTGACTGGAACAGGTCCAATAGTTGCCATTTTTCTTGCGATTTCTCCATGAATACGTGTATCCTTTATAGAGAAGCCTACCATTTCCTTTAGTCTTCCGGAATTTAGGAGGGATTATGTAGGCTGGAAATGAATAAAATATACATTTATGACATAACATTTTATGAGGTGAATGTATATACCAGATTATTATAATAAACGACCGACGCTCATTTTTATAATAATTAATTTTATAATAATTAAACAAACGAGCAGACGGATCACCTGATTGTAAGTGATTACCGTCGCCCATGGACACCTGCAACACCAGAGCCGGCCTTTGAGGGACGAATATGATCATAGGGAGGGAAGGGTTGAGGAGTAGAGGGAAGGGAATAGGGAGGGGTTGGGCCTCCGGTACCCTCACTCACACGACGAAACACAGCGCAAGCGTTATACCTCGTTATAGGAGGTGCAATTTGGTAACTGGACGTTTTTAGAGATGCTTTAAAATACTGCATTTATATTATTATAAAATACTGCACAGATAACCTTTACAGCGAAACTGTACCAGGACAAAGGAATCCAAGGGACATCAAGACAAGAATAGCGAGACCAGAGGTATCTTCTGCCTAAGATTCAACAAAACTCGAGCCTGAGAAATCGGCTATTAAAACTGCACTTTTAAGTATCGACCTTTTGAAAGATTTTTTTTATAATGCCACCAGGGCTAGGCATGGCTAGGCTTTCAAACTTTTGGTGCCTTGTGTGAATCAAACTGTCTAATAGTAATAATGGTATAGTAACCTATCCATTAGAAAGCGATTGATTGGCGTTATAGAGATGTCAATTTTCTATGAAACGGATATGTTATTTCAGTACTTGTGAAGATTGTAGTACATAATAAAACAACGGATTTATTTATAAGTTCATATATTTCTTTCCACATTTATACAATAAGTATGCAGCTAAAACTACAAAAACGGAAATTAAAATTACCTATACTTATTTCACATTGAATATTGACTAGTTAATAAAAATAGTTGATAATCGTTCTAAAACTAGTTGGTATAAATAAAATAATTAATAGTAAAAAATGGTATGCCATCGAAATATCTTTCTTGTAGTGTAGTTTTCAAACATAATTAATTAATAAAATCAATTAAATATTAAGGGTAAAAATTATAAGTTGTTGTGATGATATAAGAAGTTAAACAGATTTCTTGTATTCATGCATACAGTAGTGACTAATTTTTCGATATTGTTGTGTCTATACAAATAGTCACTAATTCAACAATGACTAGTGGGATTCTTTACCAATAGTGCTATTATAATTCAAAGTACCTAGCTTGAGGAGCTCGATGGCACAGTGGTAGCGCACTCGGTCTTGAATACGATTTTTAAGCAACTTACGAAATGGCCAGTCATAGGATGGGTCCTAGCTCCTCCTTGATTCGGAAAGCACGTTAAGCCGTTGGTCCTCTACAATATCATTACAATAATAATTTCCCAATCCTAAAATCTATCAAAAGTCATCAAAGCTTTGGGTTAGCAACACAACGTTATACCTGAGTATGGAGCTTATTGGCTTAGAACATGACAAAAAATTAGGTAATGTAATATTCAAGAATTCAACACAAAAAAAGTGAGTGATGAAATATTTGAATAATTTCGTAGCCAAGGCTTGGAAACAAGCTATATTTTATAATAAATAATTGTAAACTTTTGGAGTAAAAAAATTGTTTAGCTATACAATTTTTTTTCACTTTTCTTGTTCAAAACCTGTGACATTATAGAATAACGAACAAAGCAAAGCTTAAATAGAATTTCCTGACATATTTCATACGGGCATAATGACAAAAAAAAGATGTCAGTGAGCAGTGACTTCTTCCTTTTATCGTAATCATCGCCATGATTAAACGTATCATCCTCTTAAATCTTTTCTGAATTTTACCGTTATTCAGAGAAATTGTCTTTAATATATCATCATCACTTTTGAAAAATATGATAACTTTTATTACACCAGAAACAATATCGGAACGCATTTTATAGTTGACGTAAATGTTTAAAAGTGCCTAGTGACATCTATCTTGACGTCGACAACTATTTTTTCCTGAAACATACGTCCACTTACTAAAGACTAAGTATTTTGGATAGCTAAGTTATAACACACAAATTCGAAATAAAAGTATTACATTTTCATAAATTATAAATGAAACCTGTGATGTCAACGCATTTGAACAAATTAGTAGATAAAAGAATTTAATATAAGGAGAATATTATAATGCTATAATTATACTACTAGTATCTAAGAAAGATTAAGGCAATATTTCTACATCAGATATTCTGGTAATTGTCTTCTTTTGTTTTTTCGGGTGTTTATATACAACACCATTGGGAGTATTGAAAATCTGAGGTTTGGGGTGGTTATGAATGCCTCTAATCTGTATAATATGTTCCTCACTATCAGTCGTGAGGACTGACGGACATTGAGACCTGCCATACATAGCACAGTACCAGGTCTTATGACCATCCTTAGATGGTTTGCACTGTCTCCGATAGATAAATTTACAAAACATAAGAAGGTTCGCTCCTCGTGTACTCCTTATGTATCTGGCTGAAAGAGAATACATAAAATAAGAAAAAATTCTATTGCACATAAATATGAAAATATACCTGCGTATATGTAAAAAAAAATATTGGTGTAACAATATGGAAAAATAAATGAAAGCCATAAATGTTATCAATTCTATTTATTTTAAAATTTTGTTCATTATATTACAAAATTATGTGATATAAATAATTCGACATTTATAAGTTACTAATTCATTTTTAAATCCGAAAACAATTTAAATATTGCGATAGGATATTACAAAGTTATACCTTAACATGTTAAAGCTGTTAAAACAACGAAAGGGAACAATTGTAACAGGATATTGAATGTTTCATTCTGTTTTTCAGATTTCTAGAGTTGTTATATCAAAATTAGTGCTCATACTGCCTTGAATTCATGAATGTAGTGTCAGTGGTGTAACTATACCGTTTGAGGCCCATGGCAAATTCATCGGATATTCAATTTTTTTTACTAATTACATAATAATTAATAAATGTCACGAGTAAGGAGTCTCCTTTGACTGGGGGCCCCTTCCAGCTAGGGGCCCCTGGCATTTAGCTGACTTACCACCGTGTAGTTACGCCACTGTGTAATGTTATAAATAAAATAATCTATCTATCTCTTAAGTTCAACTTAATAACAATCACTTCAAATTTGATCAAGATTTGTTAAATAGTTTCAGAAATTATCATAAACAAATGTATTATATATGTGTAAAGACCCATTAACACAAGGTCATATTATACATGTATTGTAATGTTACATGAAGGTTGAATATAGTTCAATATGGATTTTGATAATAACCCATATTAATATTATATTATTACCCTTCCTCAATATCATATTCTCCAACATAAATAAAAACTTGATTCAACAACTTAAAATACAAAAGCAAAGTTCAACTACTTAATAAAAAATTTCAAATATAATAATAAAATCTTTTATATAAATTATTGGTAAATACCAGTGGTCGGACTTAAGTAGAGTTATTCATGTACTTACACTGATTTCATACAGCGAAAGAATAAAGTGGATATGCCTCAAATCCCGAGATTAATTTTAAAGAGCAGAAAAAATCCTGTGATTTTTTAAATAAAAAGTTATTTACTTTTACACAATTTAAACTACTGCATGCACGACATTGCCAAACTTACATCAATGACATTGGATGTCCAAAGTTGCAAAATACCAATACGCCCGATGTTGCCACGAAGGTCCACATTAATATCAACATTTCGATGCAAGTACATAAATAACTCTACCTAATTCCAACCTCTGGTAAATACTGACAATATTACTGATGACTTACCAAAAACATATGTAGCTTGTTGAAATATACCATTGGGCAGCAAACTTACCTGGAAGGAAGAACAGACATAAAACCAAAATAGAACACAAGGACTTACTTCAGTACCATGGTTAAACTATTAACTCACTAAGGTAAGTGATCACGTCTTAATATGAGATTTTCTCCTCTATCAATATCAATCTGTTTTAGATAGTCAATGGTTTAAACCAAATACTAATTTTAGTTTTCATTTTATAATGCAATGATATAAAAATATGCAAGTCCAAGATCGAATTTTGTTCATTATAATTACAAATCATATGCATATTTTTAAACAATTTACATACAGGCATGTTTATGTTTTCTCTACAACTAGTATATGCATTTCTCTTTCGTAAAGTATCAATATCTAGACATTGGTTTGGCTAAAATGGCCAAAAGTAAGACTTTCTCTATTAATGCAGCTAAGATAACATTTTTGTTTATCTAATTAAGTACAGAGCATTGCATCTTATGTTTATTTAAAATTTATTAAATTGCAGAATTCTATGTACTTTTCATACATGTCTGATTGAAGTAATTACTGCCCCTTTAAAAGTGTAAAGTGTTATTTTATATTACACAACTGTTATTATAAAGCATTAAGTAAATAAACAATCGAGTATTAATCATGATACATACCTCGACCATCCGTATTCAACAATATAAACGAAATTAACAAATAATAATAATTGTAAACACACTACATTTACAACACTTTACAATCACAATACACCAATAAACCAATTAAGAGTACTTTTCTGAAATTTGAACTTTAAATGGGTACTTAAAATAACATATTTTGAGTTAACAGCACTGATCGATATATTTTTTTAGAAAACAGATATGTTACAATTTTTTTTTCATAAATTATTTGAAATTCCTAAATATGTAATCATATTCCAGAACACAAAATAAACAACTTTTGAGGTTATTTCACTCAATTCACACAGACCAAATAAATACATCAACACAACATGACTTCACAGATAACATAATTTATTAACAGCGTTACATTCACTGCTGTCACGATGCTGTCAATCAAAAATATTTGGTTTAAACCTTAATTTAATAGCTTTAGTAATTATTCGAAGGTTTAAACTTAATCTAGTCCATGATCCAAGTTTTAAACCTTGATTAAAACATTAATAAACAACATGAACAAGATTCAATAGCATTAACACTAAATAAAAAATATATGTTAAAAATAGTTTTAAGAAGTACAACTCATTATTGAACTTTGGTTATTGGTAGTAGTTAACTAAATTTTAACTTACTGCATACCTAACATAACAGTCTCGTTTTCTGGAAAACGTCCCGTTTTCCGAAAAAGCGTAGAATGCTTGTCGACTTCACACTGTCGGTTGCCCAGCAAAGCGAGAAAGAAAGTAAGTGACCCAGACTGCATTAGGAATGCTCCCTTAATCTGTAACTCTGAGGACAACAGAAATAAATTGTTCACAAACTGTGGACAAACGTTCATAAGAATAAATGATTTTTTACCCATTGGAATTGTCCACTTTTACGGTGGTTACGACTTTAAACTGTTAGGTGCGCTAGCGACTAGGCGTGCAGGTTTCATATATATTCGCGCAATAGTTTGATGGTTTTTGAAATGTTATATTAATGAGTCGTGCTCGTTTTATTTTGTTTACATTTAGTATTAGGAAATTTTGATGAAGATTTCTCATGATTCAGTAAATGCGCATACACATTATCCAAGTGCATGTTATATATCCCCTTGGGAAGATTTGATTGGTAAAATTTGAATGGGCCCCGACTGTGAGTCGTTCTGTTCTGTATTACTTAGGAGAATTCTATTCTACTGGGTTTCTTTTTTTTTAGTTTTTATTTAAGTTAATTTTTTCATATATTTTTTAAAATTCATTTTGATGCAGTCGGGTTTATTGTTTTTCTTTAAATTATTTATTTTTATTTTATACTTTTTAGTTATGATTCGTTGATTTCGTTATAAGATTAAACGACACCCACTTGACATAGTTCATCGTTTTTTTTTCATTTTGACAATATGGCATCTGGTTGTCGCTGTGGTGAATTTTGATTACTGCCATGTCTTTAGTGACACTCACAAAGTTAAGACGAATCGATTGACGTAAAAATCATCAAAATCGGCCTACGCATTTGGTCTCTGGAACGTCACATAGAAACAAACATACATACATAAACTGATAAACACATTACCCTCCTTTGCGTCGCGCAGTCGGGTAAAAAGCACCTCTCTAGATGGCTCTACTCTAGCAAAAGTTGATTTTTGCGGTAAACGAATGGACCAAAGATAGTCACTTCTGTTCCTATAACTAACATATAAAAAAATCGAAATTTGCAAAGTTCAAAACTTAGGTATTATCAATACAAATATGAAAAAGTACAAATAGAATATGAGTTGTTTATTAAGAATTGAAAATAAATTTACTTTTATACAAGAAAGAAAATCGGAAGGGTTGTCATGGAGAAATCAAGAAAATACCGTAGCGACATCTAGTTTAGTTTCGGGAACTAATGTTTTATTTTAAAATATTTCCTTATTAGAAACAAGTTAGGTTCAAGTGAATTACTCTGAGATACTCCGTAGGATGTATAATAAGGGGTCGCGTAACACAGTCAATAAACTACCTATTGCGTAGATTTAGAGCATAACCTCTGATTTTTTCCTATAAGTAAAGAGGCAGAGACATTGTCAAAGGTTTTTGTTAAATTTTATATTTTTATATGTTAATAATTAGTTAAAAGCGTCTGTGCTCCTTCTTTCGACCTCTGAATGAAGGGAATCATTCTTTGCCAAATAACTTTTCTAATTTAATCAATGTCTATTTCTTCTTGGATGCCCGCTTCCTTATTACGTATTACCAAGAAGCGCTGCTAGTCGACCCGATGCCTACGTGAATTTCTGTGACTTAAATACATTTTGATTGTCATGTCGGAGACGGTCGTTGCAAACCGATTCCGACATGACCTCCAACGCCCTTGGTTGTAGAGAATCGTTTCAACTGGTTTGAACGCGTGGCCAGATAGTTGCAAATATGTAAGGATTATAGACAAGTACAGAATTTTTTGTATTATGAAGGGATAAAAATTGCTTATGAATATGTTTGGATTTTAAAGAATACATACGGGTGATGAGGTATATCAATGGGTCCGTTAAATTGCTTGAAACTTTGTTGCCATGTAGTCTTTATACTTAGAAATACATCGGTTTTTGTTTCATTGAATTCGAGCAAGCCCCTTTGAGCCTGTGATTGTTTTAATTTCTGCTTTATTCACTTTCACCTTGGTGCGGTATGGACGCTTAAAGTCACATTACAAGGTGCCACACACGCGGTACTATGTCACTTATACATTTGAACGATTTCCCCTCAACAGTAACCATTTTTTAAACTAAACTAAACGGATATTGCTCACAACTATTCTAAAAACTCCGATTTTTTGGCCGCAGAGATGCAAGAAGTAAAAATGTGAAAGTAAGTTAAACTCATTAAATCTAAAAAATATTGAATTCCTGTATTTCTGTTTTTGTTGAGAGGAGAATAATATAATAAGTCAGATGGTAAGTATATACTAAGCCTTTCACATTTTCACAGATAAGAGCATTTTTATGTTTTTCGTTTTCTATATGTAGGCTTAAGTTTATTTTAGATACGTAGGATAAAAACAGCTGCGCCTACGACCCGAGTACACGGGAAAAAAAATTAACATGTTGAATCCACAAATAAGGACATCACGTATTGTGTCTAAGTGTACCAATACAAAGCATCCAAAAAGTTGTTTTGAGTAGGTTTCCGTACTCAAAACGTAAAATATTATATTTAATAAGACTATCCTATCCTATTACTAAGATTTCGCTGTCCGTCCGTCTCTGACCATGCTGTATCTTATAAAACGTGAAAGGTAGATAGTTGAAATTTTCACAGATGATGTATTTCTGTTGCTGCTTCAAAACAAATACTAAAAGCCAGAATAAAATAAATATTTAAAGGAGCTCCCATACACCAAACATGATTGTTTTGTTCGTTTCCGGTACGAAACCCTACGTGCGTGAGTCTGACTCACACTTGGTCGGTATTTATTTTAGCTTAGAAGAAAAGTGTAGTTAGTTGTTTAATTTTTCCGTAATTTTAGAAAACTTAACCATTTGTTTCTAATAAAATTTGTAGCAATTCTTTGTGTTAGTTATTTTTAATCCACTTCTGCAGGATGGGTATCAAATGAAAGGGCTTTATGAGAGTAAATGAAAAATAATGTGACGTTATTCTAAATCCAATATGGCGGAATATCCAAGATAGCCGAATAGTTATTAATTATTATTCATGCACTTCTGCAATGTTGGTATCAAATGAAAGCGATGACTTAAAAGTTAAAGATAAATCAAAAACTTAAAAAAACCTTTATTTAAACGCTTAAAGTAAGAAATTTTTTTATTTTTTAAATTTTAACTGCCAATTTATAACCTCATTATACACAATTTATATGATTATGGGTAGCTCGGTGGCGTAGTGGATAAGCGCCGCGGCCCGCGATCGTAGTCGTTAAGCAACTTTCGCAAGGGTCGGTCACGGGATGGGTGACCAAAGAAAAATTATCTCGAGCTACTCCGTGCTTCGGAAGGCACGTTAAGCCGTTGGTCCCGGCTGCATTTGCAGTCGTTAATACCCTCCA